GCACCGTCGCGCAACCTCGCCAGTTTGCCCACGTCTTTCTGCCGCCCAAAGCTCCCGGCCTGCCCGACACCAACGTCGCCCACGAGATCCTCGCAGCCGGCTGGGCCAAGGTCCACGACTCGGTGGCGCGTCGCAGCGAGGAAGCCGACGATGGAAGCTGGAAGCAAAAGCTGCGCAGTGTCCAGGAAGAGGCTTCAGCCGCCGGTGTCGGTCTGTGGGGGCCCGATGACTTGCTCAAGGTCGACCACTCGATGCCCGAAGACACGGCGGCTTTCCTCGCCGAGTGGAAGGGCAAGCCCATCGAATCCATCGTCGAGCAGGTCCGCGACGGCAGCATGCTTCGTGTCCGTCTGCTCCTCTCGTCGACGCACCAGCAGATGATCAACCTCAGCTTGGCCGGCATCAAGGCGCCTCGGGTCACGGGCGGAGGTGGTGCCAGCCCTACCGATGCCAGCGAGCCGTTCGGCGAAGAGGCCAAGTTCTTTGTCGAGAGCCGTCTCCTCCAGCGCAACATCAAGGTGACGCTCCTCTCGGTGCCACAACCCGTCGCAGCTCCTACGCCGTTTGCAAGCACCGCCTCGGCAGCCCCTGCGCCTGCTCAACCCTCCGCCAGCGTACTCATCGGACTCGCGATCCACCCGGTCGGCGACATTGCCCAGTTCCTGCTCGCCGCCGGTCTGGCTCGATGCGTCGACTGGCACGCCGGCATGCTCGCTTCGTACGGCGGTATGGAAAAGTATCGCCAATCCGAGCGAACCGCCAAGGAGAAGCGTCTCAACCTCTGGCAGTCGTACTCGGCGCCGGCCTCGTCGTCGACGACGCTGGCGAGCCAGCCCGTTGCTGCGCGCACCTTTGACGCCATCGTCTCGCGCATCATCTCGGGCGACACGATCCAAGTGCGCAAGACGGGTGCCGACGGCAAGCTCGGCCCCGAGAAGCGCATCCAGTTCTCGTCGCTGCGTCAGCCCCAGGCCAAGGACGCCAAGCAGGCTGGCTACGCTGCCGAGGCGCGCGAGTTCCTGCGCAAGCGTCTCGTCGGCAAGACCGTGTCCGTGCAGATGGACTACATCAAGCCCAAGGAGGGCGACTTCGACGAGCGAGAGTACGCCACCGTCAAGCAGGGCAGCAAGGACGCCGATGTGGGACTGCTGCTCATCTCGCGCGGTCTGGCGACTGTGCAGAGGCACCGTCGGGACGACGAGGACCGCTCGCCCGACTTTGACCGCCTCATGGAGGCCGAGGCCAAGGCGGTGACCGAAGCCAAGGGCATCCATTCGGGCAAGGAGCTGCCTGCACCACGCATGGGCGACGCTTCCGAGACGGCTTCCAAGGCCAACACGTTCCTTCCGGGCCTGAAGCGCGCCGGTCGACTGACGGCGGTGGTCGACTTTGTCGCCTCGGCGTCTCGCTTCAAGCTGATCGTGCCGCGCGAGAATGTGCGGCTCACGTTCGTGCTCGCCGGCATCCGTGCACCCAAGACGGCGCGCAACGGCTCGGAGAAGGACGAACCGTTCGGTCGCGAGGGACTCGAGTTCTCCACCATGCGTGCGCTGCAGCGCGACGTCGAGATCGAGGTGTTGAGCACCGACAAGGTGGGCGGCTTCATCGGCGCGCTCTACCTCAACAAGACGGACAACCTGGCCGTGTCGCTCGTCGAGAGCGGGCTCGCCACGGTGCACGGCTACAGCGCCGAGGCGACGCCGTTCTACAAGTCGCTGACCGATGCAGAGGAAAAGGCCAAGGCGGGCAAGCTCGGCGTGTGGCACGACTACGATGCGGCGGCGGAGGCGGAGGCCGAGTACGTC